GTTCTGAATGTCTTGAACAATTCTTGACAACCTCCTACAACTTCCAAATTTCAATAGTAGACTTCAGAGGACAAATTAAATATCATTTGCCAAATTCTAAATTAATTCAAACTATCGGACATCTACCAATTCAACCCAAATTTATACAGTCATTAATTCCAATTCGAAAAGCAACAACATTATTCGCAGACGGATCTGGCAGAACTGGAAATGCTGTTATTGTTTGGCAGGAAAATAACAGCTGGAAACAAGATGTCCACAAAGTGAAGGGTTCTCCACAAGTCATAGAACTGTCCACAGTTGTTCATGTATTCTTCCTATTTCAATCACAACCTGTTAACATTATTTCCAACTCCTCCTACATTGTAGTCAAAAGAATTGAAAACTCTTATTTAAAATTTATTTCTAATGATTTCTTATTTTATCTATTTAAATCATTGTACTTTCTTATCAGCAGACGAACTGTTCCATTTTATATTACTCACACATGTTCTCACACTATATTGCCTGGTCCTGTGACTGAAGGAAACCGCTTAGTTGATATTACAGCTCCAGTTGATATTACAGATCCATCACTGTTCCCAGCAAACTACAACAAGCTAAAATATCCCATGACTTTTTTCACCAGAGATCATTACAAAAACAATTTGACCTCACTCAAAATCAAGCCAAAGAAATTATATCTGCTTGCCATGATTGCCAAAATTTAACACCTATTAAATCAGAAACAGTAAACCCCAGGGGTTTACAGCCCTTGGAATTATGGCAAACAGATGTCACACATTTACCCAGATTTGGCAAATTAAAAAATATACATGTCTCTATTGATACTTGCTCTGCCTATATCGTAGCCATTGCACTCCCTGAAGAAAAAATCAAAGATGTTAAAAAACATCTACTAAGTGCTTTTGCACATATGGGAGTCCCAAAAACAATAAAAACAGACAACGGGTCTACATATGTGGCAAAAGACACCCAGACATTTTTTCAATCGTGGGGCATAACACATATTACTGGCATTCCACATAATCCCACCGGACAGGCAATTGTGGAAAGAGCACGTTTAACTTTAAAAAATATGCTGGGAAAGCAAAAGAGGGGGAGTACAGGACTCTCACCTCAGGAGCAGTTGAATAAAGCATTATATGTTATTAATTTTTTAAACAGATTAGATAATTGGAAAAATTCCCCCGCATTTAGACAATTTGATAAAAAAGCACAGAATGTAACAGCAAAAGCAAAGATTCTGTATAAGGACATTTTAATCAGGCAATGGAAAGGTCCCTTGCCTATCATAACATGGGGAAGGGGTCATGTTTGTATTTCCACAGAAAGCGGAACAATATGGGTTCTGTTGAGGAGGGTAAAGTTATACCAAGAACAACCAGAAACGCCAGCAACCTCCTGATTTCCATCTTGTTTCTATGGATGACAACACTGATGTTTCTGACAGCCCCTACTGGAATTCCAGTATGGGCCTTTGGAAACAGTAACAACTTATGGATGGCTCCGGCAAGGAAGCCTATACAGATACAGTTTGTCTTGCTACCCACAACCTTGCTAACCCTTTTACCACATTTAGTTGGTATCCCCAATGCAAATACCTTGGAGACTTTTCGTAAAACTTTTTCTGTTACTAAGAATGAACCTGTTGAATTTGAGTTTCTTGGTTCTTCCATTACTAACTTCTGTATACATTTTGAAAGAAGATTTAATTTTCCTCTCCACAAAACAAATAATGTCACTCCCAAAAGAGTCATCTACAAGAATGCAACATTGTGGTGTAATGAGACCCAACTGTAAAAAGTCATCATTGAAACCCCATACAAACCTTTAAAATTAAATCATGGTGATTTTTTAATTTGTGGAGAAGGGGCATGGTTTGGAATTCCTTATAATCTGGAAAGGGGGACCAGGCACCATGGGTAAAATTACCTTTTTTCACCCCTTTAAATTTCCCATACGCAGTGAAATTCCCTCTTCAGAAATCAAGCCTGTAGCTCCTAATTGTGCTAAGAGACAAATTGCCACTAGCTCAAAAATGGAAATCATTTGTAGAAATAAAGAAAAATATCCCCTAGCTTGGGATTCTTTTCCTCCTTCTAAAAAGACTACCCCTAAAATAATGGCACAAGTTCCAAACTTTGTACAATCCTCTAGATCAGCTTCAGACACATCCATTCACCTTGATCTCGTGACTGACTCTCCAACTCCTACTCAGTTCCATCCCCTAGCTCATATCCCTTCAATATCCCCTGACTGTGATCCCCCTGTAAAATTATGGATCAGAGATTGAGATTTTTGGGTGGCATTTTTTGCGGCTGGGATTGCATCTGATCATGCTCTTGGCGTCCTTAGTCACATGGCCTGTTGGATGGCTAAGGAAGCCAACACCACCTCCCTTACACAAAAGAGTAGCCATAGATTTCCTTTTACTATTGCATAATCATGGTTGCGAGGAGTTTACAGACTTATGCTGTCTAAACTTCTCAGATCATTCACAATCAATCCGATCTAATATTAAACAGCTTCAAAGTTTAATTTCCAAAAATCATCAAGACCCTAGATGGCAAACCAAAGATCTTTTTGATGGACTGAATTGGGGATCCCTCCCAAATTGGATTAAACAATTAATATTAATTGGCTTCTCCATCCTTTTTTCTATTATCTTTATTGTTTATCTTCTTTCTTGTCTTTTTGCCTTGCTAAAAAAGTACTGCCTCCCCAGAGCCCTTCCAGTTACTGTCCAAGGTCCCACTGCAAGACTACAATCAAGATTTCCAAAAATTCTGCAATCATTTTAACAAAAGAGGGGGAGATGTGGAGAGTTGTGGTATGAATAAAGAGGACTTTGAGAGATGGAAAAGAGCTTACCTACCCTGAGCAAACCAATAGAGATTCTAAAACAATGGAGTTTATTCTTGCTATTAGGATTGATTCCATACCTTCCTTCTTTTTACTATGTTAATGCATGTTGTTATAAATAATGTACCCCAGTTCCATTTATTTCATGGTGTTAAAGTATGCTTGGACATGTTCTCCCTTCGCTGTTCTCCTCAGCCCCTGATTGGTTCAGCCAGGTCCAGACCACTTCAAACTGCTTCAGACTAGTCCAGACCAGTTCAAACTGTTTCAGACGGGTTCAGACCAGTCCTGACCGGTTCAAACCCATTCAAACTGGTCCAGGTCAGTTCAGATCAGTCCAGACTGGTTCACACCAGTTCACAAAGGTTCAGATTGGTTCCAACCGGTTCAAATTGGTTCAGACTAGTCCAAATCGGTTCAAAGCAGTTCAGACCAGTCCATAGAATCATAGAATCATAGAATAGATTGGGTTGGAAAAGACCTCCAAGATCATCAAGTCCAACCCCTGATCCAACTCTAATTACTATATCATGGCACTAAGGGCCATGTCCAATCTCTTTTTAAAAACTTCCAGGGATGGTGAATCCACCACCTCTCTGGGCAGGCCCTTCCAATGCCTGATCACCCTCTCTGTAAAGAATTTCTTCCTAACATCTAACCTAAACTTCCCCTGGCAGAGCTTGAGCCCATGTCCCCTTGTCCTGTTGTTGGTTGCCTGGGAGAAGAGACCAACCCCCACCTGGCTATAACTTCCCTTCAGGTAGTTGAAGAGAGTGATGAGGTCACCTCTAAGCCTTCTCTTCTCTAGACTAAACAAGATGGGTTCAAACCAATTCACACTAGTCCTGACCAGTTTAAACCGGTTCAGACTGGTCCAGACCGGTCTAAACTGGTTCAAACTGGTTCAGACAGCTCCAGACCAGTTCAGGTTGGTCCAGACCAGTCCAGACTGGTCCAAAACAGTTCAAACTGGTTCAAGAATGGTTCAACAAGGTCCAAACCTGTTTAGACTGGTCCAGACCAGTTGAAACTGGTTCAAACCAGTCCAGACCGGTTCAGACCAGTTCAACAAGGTCCAAACCAGTTGAAACCGGTCAGACTGGTCCAAACTGGTTCAGACCAGTCCAGACCAAATCAAACCAGTTCAAAATGGTCAAAACCAGTTCAAACCGGTTCAGACTGGTTCGGCTCAGTTTAGCCAGGTCCAGACCAGTTCAAACCAGTTCAGCCAGGTCCAGACGGGTTCAAACCGGTTCAGACCGGCTCAGCCAGGTCCAGACCGGTTCAAACCGGCTCAGACCGATTCGGGCCAGTTCAGCCAGGTCCAGATGGCTTCAGACTGATTTAGGCCGGATCAGCCAGGTCCAGTCCGTTTCAGCCAGGTCTAGGTCGGTTCAAACCGGCTCAGACCGTTCAGCCAGGTCCAGACCAGTTCAAACCGGTTCAGACCGGTTCAGCCAGGTCCAGACCAATTCAGACTGGGATGGGGATGTGGGATGGACCGGGATGGGGGTGTGGGATGGACCGGGATGGGGGTCACAGTTATGACCTTATGGCTACTTTCCCAGCTCAGCTCTCCCTCCCCAGCTGATGGATCCTGATCCCCCAAGTCATTCCTCACACAGGAGCTGTGCTGTACCTTTAATCATCCTTCTCCACATCCAATTTAACTGTATCACAACTTATTTCTGGGACTTCACTGGGCATCAACTGGGAGTACCCCTAACTAACTGCCTGCTTCATGTTGTAATTACATGAACCACAAACGAGCCACCACTGAGGGATTTGGGAAAGTGCAAAAAGAGTAGGTTGTTATGGACACTGCAACTCCAAGAAATCATGCTATTTAAAATAACAGCAGGAAAGATTTCCTGCATCAGCTCTGCAGCTTCCTCCAAAGCTTTTACTGGATTCAGAGGCATGATCAAGAGTGTTCACTACACTTGGCCTCTTGTAAGGGAGTTCAGGGGGCTCTCCTCATGTGCACCAATGCTGAAAACTCACCAACATTTACTCTGAGGGGAATTCCCTCCATTCATTCAGACAGTGGATGACACTACCCTGACAGGGATGTGCTTGATCCTTGGGAAAATAGGAGTCAGAAAGGTGTGAGTATTAAACAGTCAAACAACAGGTCAGGTAAGAAAAATACTGCCTCTTCTTTAAAGACATCAGTAAACAAACAGAACAGCACAGACAGAGGTTAAACCCTCCCAGTTCCCCAAACAGCACATTCCAAACCACCACAGGTACCAGCTGACAGCTCGGGAGAGGGAGCAGCAAAGTCTGGGATTTGACAGATGGCTGAGACAAATCTCTGCAGGGTGAGGGCAGAAAGGCATAGGACTTGGAGGAAGCAGCTTCCCTCACCCATGTCTGCTGGGTGCAGTCAAGAGGGAATGATTTCCCCTCGGAGCAAGTAGCCCAAATCTCCTGCTAACAAACAGAAGGGCCATGTGTGAACGTGGAAAAGACAGCTGGGAGCTGCATTAGGGATGTAAGATGCACCACGTACTGACCTTGGCAGCCAAACCTCTGTTCCACAGGGATTTTAGCCTCTTGGAGAACAAACACACCAGGGAAGTTGGGTCTCCAACTCAGCAGTGTTGCAGAACTCGCTTGTGAATGCAAGTCTGGGTGTGGGGGAAAGGAACAAGCCTCCATCCCTTGCTCCCTGCTCCAGAGACACTCCCCACCCTGACCCCACAACTGGCCTGGTCTCCAATAGTTTTCCTCAAGCTGTGGAGTACCAAATGGTTGGAAGGGCCATCAGGAAGCAACTCAGTGCAGGCTGCAGAGCACAGTCGAGTGGTACCTGAGTGGAGGGCTGGGGAGAGCAGGATGGATCTGGTAGTGCTGGAACAGAGGCAGAGACGGCAGGCACAGTTGCTCCAGCTCCCAGTTGGCAGGAGCCTGCAGGGGAGTCACAGAGCATAGGTCAGGCTCTGACAGCTGTCCCAAGGCTGTCAACCAGCACACAGCATGGACCCCTTTTCCCAGAGCAGTGACAGCTGGAACCATGACACGTAGTGGAAACTCAGGAACACGTTTCACTGTTGTCTGCCTCTCCAGGCGGCAGAATCCTGCAGTGGGGTTGTTCCTGCTGCCACTACGTGCAGTCTAAGATGAAGGGAGGGCTCCTCCACAGCCCAGTTAAGTGCTCCAAGCATCCCTGTCCAATGTGGGATGCCCAGCAGTCCAGAGCCCTCAGATCTCCACATCGCTCTCTTTGTCGTTGTCATGGTCACCGTCGTAAAACTCATTGGCAGCCTCGGGCCTGGAGAAAGGGAAACTCCTGTCAGAGAGGAGGGCGAGCCCTGGCACCCCTGGGGCCCAAGGTCAGAGGATGCCCTGTACCCAATCACCCTGTGGAACGTCATATAAGGACACCATATGTTCCTAGAGAAGTTCTCTGAGTGAAACTTGAGACCTGGAGGTGTCTTCCGAACTATTTGCACATGACAGATTTCTAGATACTTTTTGTTGCTAGTTTTGTGTAATATTTATTGAACATTTTTGACAAATAATTTATTTTTGTAAGCCTAAAAGTGATTCTTTGAAAGTTTCTTTAAACTTGACCAAAAGACAGTACAAAAACACTGGCACTTGAGTGTTGAATGTCACCGTGTGAAATTGTATTTTCTGGGGTAGCGAGAGCTTTTAATGTTTAAGCCACATTAAAGTCTTCAGTCAAACTAAGTAGATTTGGCATTGGCAGTATAGCCATAACTTTCTGATAGTAAAACAGAAGTTGGCAACTTACAATTAAACATGCCAAGGTTTTGATACACATGTCTTAAGATGATCTCTAAGGTCCCTTCCAAACCAAATCATTCTGGGATTCTACGACCTGCAGCTGTTCTAGGAAACACAGTCTCCAGTCTATCACCCACTAATCCCAGCAGGGACAGAAAGAGAAGCCCCTTTCTCCAGAACAAGTTCTGGTACCTGCTATAGTTTTCCTCAGAGCCCCTCTCCTCTGGATCGGGCTCATCCGTGCGATCGTAGCTGAGCAGGTCTGAGGGCACGTCGTGGATCTGCACACTGGGAGCGTGGTTCAGCATCTTCAGGTTCTCAAATATGGTCTGCCTGATCTGATCCAAGTACTACATGAAAAAAAAGAGAGGGATCAACCCAGTAGGGCTGTCAGTCAGCACTGTTACCTGCCTGCACTACCTAAGTGGAGAAAAATTTGTGCAAAAAGCCATTTATCAGAGCAGAGGAGGTGGGAGAGCTGATACTCAAGCACACAGGAAACAGCAAGACAACCCAGCAAGGGTCTCAAATGCTTTGAGGTTTTCTGACATCCCAGAAAGGGATGGTTCTTGGTTTTTGTCCAGTTTCTGCCTTTACCTGGGCTCTACCTGGTTTCACAGGACAGAGTATCAACCACAGGGTTCTGGAAGCTCATAGCTGAGATTGTAACACAACTTTAAGCACTCACCTGCCTGGAGTTCTGGTTTTCAATCCTTGTGCTGACATCAGGGTGAAGGGTGAAGTCTGGAGCGAAGTATTCAAAGTACTCTGTGGTGGGAGGAGGCAGAGTTAGAGCACAGAGGGACAGGAGCTCTGCAGAGCACAGCTCAGCCTCACCCCTGCCTGCGGGAGACAGAGTCTAAAAGGCACAGAGATGTACAGCTCTGCCTGCAAGGGTCTGGACACAAAATCAGAGCAAACAACAGCAACACCTGGGGCCCTGAGTAGGAAATTATCCAAATTAAATGATAATGTGTCTGCCCAGCAAAGTCTACAGTGGGTGGTAGGAGATCCCAGAATGGTTTAGGTGGTAGGGGGCCTCAAAATTCATCTCGTTCCACCCCCCTTCTACTAGCCCAGGTTGCTCCAAGCCTCAGCCAACCTGGCGATGGACTTCCAGGGATCCAGGGGTAGCCACAGCTTCTCTGGGCAACCTGTGCCAGGGCCCCACCACCCTCACAGGGAAGAATTCCTTCCCAATATCCCATCTAACCCTGCCCTCTGGCAGTGAGAAGCCATTCCACACTTCAAGGGATCACTAAGGCCATCTCCAAGATCAGAAAGTGCTGTCGCTTTGGCCCCGGTCAATGTAGAATAGAATATAACAAATTCTTTAGCTCAGCTAATGAGGTAAAAAGGGAGCTCCCAACTTACCACTGTATGGTAGCTCTTCACTAATTGCTTCATCTACAAGCAATGACGTTTCGTAAGTCCTGAAAACGTGGCAAAAGGTGATCTTAGTCCAGAGAAAGAGACATGGTAAATGTAGGGACAAATCCCACAGCAGTTGCTCTCCCAGTGCCCTTCACCAAGCAGAGAAGAGACTCACCAGCATCGTGCCACATTCCGGACTGTGTAACCACCTCCTCCCAGGACCAGCAAGGGGATGTTGAAGCTCTTCACATACTCCACGCACTCCCTATAACCCCCCAAAAATAGAATGTCAGAGCTGTGAACTGCAGCATAGATTCCTGGGTCAGAAATGCCCCAGTGCAATCAAACACCACCACAGCTGGTGTGACCCATCCAGAGCTCAGGGTTTCCACTCCCGGGGCCTGAACCACAGAATCATCATCACAATGGTTTGGATGGGAAGGGGCCTTAAAGCCCATCTCATTCCACCTCTCTGCCATGGACAAGGGACACCTTCCACCAGCCCAGGTTGCTCCAAGCCTCCACCAACCTGGCCTTGGGCACTTTCAGGGATCCAGGGGCAGCCACAGCTTCTCTGGCAACCTGTGCCAGGGCCTTCCCACCCTCACAGGGAAGAATTCCTTCCCAGTTTCCCATCTAACCCTGCCCTCTGGCAGTGGGAAGCTATTCCCCGTTGTCCTGTCCCTCCATGTCCCTCTCTATCTCTCTAGGAGTCCATCTAGGCACTGGAAGGGGCTCTCAGGTCTCCCTGGAGCCTTCTCTTCTCCCCCCCAGCTCTCCCAGCCTGGCTCCAGAGCACAGGGGCTCCAGCCCTCGGAGTATCTCCATGTGCTGCCCTGAACCACTTGTACAAAAGTCTCATTCTCAGACCTACTCCTGTCACACAAACATTAAGACCCCCCCAAAAACTGCTGGAAGGCCAAAGCCAAAGCTCAAACCTCACAGCAGAGTCACTAGAGCCCTTCAGATGGTCCCTCTCTGCCCAGTCCCCTGCACTTACCCATGGCCTCTGATACTGAGGTTAAAACAGCCCAAACGGTCACAACCCAGAGAATCAGCACCACACTGGGGAACAGAAAAACAAGAGAATTTTGGCACTGCTTTCCAAATACACACCAACCCTGCTACCCCAGGAACAGCAGGGAACACAGGGATAGCCCTCTCCAACCTACAGCCTCCAAAATGGAGGGCTGTGTGCAGAGCTTTGCCTCCTTACCTGCAGCACTATGCAGGTGGGCTGGTAGTAATCTACCACCTGGTTAATGACTGGCTGGAAGAGGTGTTTGTAACCTTTGGAGAGAAAGGTAGGTCTGTCATGGCTTTGGAACAGAGGATCAGGAAACACCTGGGCAGGGGGAAAGGGCAGGAACACCTACTCTGGTCATCGATACCATCCCGTAGGGGCACGTTCAGACAGTAGTAACGGCCACTCTCTGCACCCACCTCATACATGTCACCTGCAAAACAGGGCAGTCACAACAGCTCTGACACTTCACAGGGGTGGAAAGGCCAGATCAGCTCTGGGCTGAGTCTCTTAACTTAGTTAGGACCCCTCCTTCTTAGGAATAACTACAGTTCTGTTCCCTCTAATCGCTACCTCCCACCATTTCTCCCTGTGGCTTGAATTTTGTGATTTACACTTTTCTACTCCAGCACAGCCTCCAAAGGATTCTGAAGTGAGCCCACACTTAAAAAGGAAGACACATACCTGTGCCAGGAAAGAAATAGTTCCCGTATTTGTGAAATGACACTGTCATGACACGGTCTGTCAAGTAAAAAGCCTCCTGCACCCCATCTCCGTGATGGATATCGATGTCGATATACAGGACACGTGGGTGATACCTATGGAACACAGGAGGAAAACCAGCACCCACCCGAGCACATCATGCTTTGGATACAAGGCATTTGTCTACAGTCAAACACACTAAATCATTTCCTTCTGATGTGCTTGGCAATTGACATTTGAAACATTTTCTTCTGATGTGTTTGGAAATAGGTATTAAAAAAAAGTTTTTCAGATGGAGCCTTGGAAAGCACATGATGAAAATATCTTGTTTTAACCACCTGGGGGTTAGAAACTTGCAGGTGTTTGTTTTCAACATGGCCCTTGGTTAATCTTTGAGAGCTGCAATGATTTTAATCCTATCAGGAAATGAAAGGCAAGGAGGTGGACACACTCCTTTCCTCCACATGCCAGAGTACTGGAGCACTCTGTCTCAGCTGGTGAGCACCAGAAATTCCAGGCCAGATTAAATTTGCTGTAAAAGCAGCCAGAGACACAGAGAGAGCATGAAGAAGGGGAGTTCATCATCAGTAAATGCTACAGGGTAGTGGTCAAACTGCTGCTGTGGAGCACTGAGACACAGCCCTGAGCCAGCTCCAGAGATGCCTGCTCAGCTGGAGAGAGCTTCTCCAGCTTTTCCCAAGGAAATGCTGCACCTGGTCAACCGCCTAAAAACAGGGGATCCACACCAAAACCCTCAGGGAGTGTGGAGGGTCCTGGAAAAACAAGACAACACCAAGACAGAGAGGAGGAGTGTGTGGTTCATGCCTTGGAACCAGGGCTTCAAAGTGCCTGCAGGGATCTGAGCAAATCGCCTGATGGTCTTTCAAGAGAGATATAAACTATTTAAATTTCCTAGATTATTCATCCCACAGACAAATGGCAGCAAGGAGAAAAGGGGGATGCATGGACACATCCCTTCCACACTGGGAAAGGGAGAAAGGGACCTGCAAGAGCAGAGGCAGCACTGGACTCCCACGGTGTGAAGCAAACTCAGAATACAGTCCCCTGCTGCAGAAATGGTTCCTGGCAACAGGGAACATAAGGATAGGGACATATTATCATCTCCCATGAGGAGGAACTGGCCTGCATTTGAGGTCTCTGCTGTATGAGACTCGGGTGAAACTAGACAATGGGTGTGCAGATGTTCACAGGGAAATCCTGAGGTTCCAAACTTGGGGCAGGGATGACAGGCAGAGAGGAAGGAGGTACAAGTAATCCAGTACATCCCATAAATCTGACTTTAAGAGCAAGTAAACTTACCACCAGTCATGTAACTATTGTCTGGTCAACTCCAAATCCTTTACAATTCCAAAACAATTTGTCTCAGATTCAGTGACAATCGAGAGTACAAAAAAACAACCAACCAACCAACCAAAAAAACAAACAAAAAAACCCAAACAAAACAAAAAATAACACAAAAAAAAAAAACCAGAACAGATTAATTTAAGAAATTGAAGGTATTTCTGTAACTCTTCCTCCCATTCTGAATTTAATTTTCATTTTCTAAAAACCAAAATAACTTGACTCTTTTCTACTGAGAGCAAGTATCCTTTGATCATCCATGTGTAGCTCAAGTCCTGTTCTCGACCCACTCAAGCAAGTCAAGAAAGATTTGAGTCATTTCTCTGCCTCCAGCAAGCCATAACATGCAAGGTTCACTGTGACAAAAAGGCTGAGGCTCAGGAGACCCTGAAATGAGTGTTTTATGGCTGGATGAGAATTGGGATGGAAGAACTCCTCTGTGTTCCTTAAGCTTCATGCAACAACACTGAGGTAGATACAATTCTCAAACACTTTCTTGTGTCTAATGAAGCCAAGGGTGGGGAGGAGATAAATCAGGTGTTGGGGCTTCCTGGATTGCAGAAAGGGAAATGAGGTGGGGAAGCAGAGAGAGAAGAGTGAAGCAGCAGAGGGAAAGCACAAACCAGGCAGGACAGGTCAGTCCTTGCCCCTGTCCTTACTTGAGCAGCTCCAGGATGCCGATAACGATGTCATTAACATAACAAAAACCAGAAGCCTGCCAGAGAGAGAGAAACCCAAACAGCATTAGAATGGGATCAACACAGAGCCTGGGCCCCAAAGACAGAGAAATCCACACATTTGCCTCATTACCTCGAACTTTTTGGCATGATGGAGGCCCCCTGCCCAGTTTATGGCAATGTCACAGATCTGAGAAAGGAAAGAGAAGTGAGTTGAAGGAGATAAAAACAACCCTGTACCCTCTTCCTCTCTGTGCCACTTCCACCTGTGGCCCCCAAACACCCTTCTGGCCTTTCCTCCTTTCCAGAGCTCTATCTCTGTTCCAAAAGCTCAGCACCTCAGCCCCTTACCTTGTTGTTCAGTTGTGTTGCTCCCTGCAGGGAGGCCCCAGTATAACGAGAGCAAAACTCAAAGAGGCCTGGAAACACTGGGCTGGAAAAGAAATCATGATTCAAACACACAACATCTCATCCCTGCCCACTTCTCCAGAGCAAAGCCGGCAATAAAACTGTCCAGAGATATTACCTGAGCAAAGGCAACACTCAGTTCTCTGTGAAAGAGTTAATTTGGGATCAGGATCACTCTGACCCTGCAGGTGAGAGAGCTGGCTACAAACCCAATGAGAAACTCAGGGAATGTGATAATGATTTCCAAAGCTTCCAAGCCAGTCCTGAAAAGGCTTTCCCTTGCTCCCAAAACGTGCCAGAGTCTGTCCTGCAGCCCCTGTTGGGATGTGCCCAGAGTTGGGACATGATGAGAGACCCTGCCTCAGGAGACGAGAGGATTGCTGTGGTCCTGCACTGGCTCCCCTCTGGCTGTGTCTGGAACACCATGGAATCACACACTGGTTTGGGTTGTAAGAGGGACCTTACAGCTCATCTCATTCCACCCCTGCCATGGGCAGGGACACCTTCCACCAGCCCAGGTTGCTCCAAGCCCCGTCCAACCTGGCCTTGGACACTTCCAGGGATCCAGGGGCAGCCACAGCTTCTCTGGGCAACCTGTGCTAGGGCCTGCCCATCCTCACAGGGAACAGTTCCTTCCCAATATCCCATCTAACCCTGCTCTCTGGCAGTTTGAAGCCATTCCCCCTTGCCCTGGCACTCCAGGCCCTTAGAAATAGTCTCTCTCCTTCTTTCTTATAGCTCCTTCAGGCACTGGAAGGCCACAAAGGCAACCCAAAAGCTGCTCCTCTCCAGGCTAAATAATCCCAGCTCTCCCAGCCTTTCCTCCCACTTAGAACTGCTCCAGCCCTCTGATCCTCTTGGTGCCTCCCCTGGACTCACTCCAACAGCTCCATGCCCTTCCTGTGCTGGGACCACATGGCCGGAGGCAGCACTCAAATTATTAACAAAGATAATTGAACTGAAGGCTCTTCCAGAAAAAGTAGAACCATAATCTGTAACCCAACAAGCCAAAATCTAGTTTTAAAAAGCAGGATTGAGCCATCTAAAGGAAAGGAATCAAGGATGTTCCATAATCTGATAAACACAGGAAGGACACGCTCTTCATTCTGGTTAAAAACAAGCAAGAAGAGGGAGGTTCTACAAGTTTTTGGGACATGAGCAGAGTAGGGACCCCCTTTGTAGCTGCAGGAGGCTCAGGGCACTCACCAGTCATCGCCCACGTTGAAGGCATTGAGGCTCTTGGTGAAGCCCTGCATGTTGTTGGGACTCACTCTCTGCAGGAAGTCAATGTAATCCTCGGAGTGGAAGCGGCACATGTCGTGCTGGGACGCCTGGTATGGCTTGAAAACCTTCCAGAGACAAAGAAAGACAACACTTATTTCCCAGCCAAATTCGTGTTTGTTTGGGCTGGAAGAAACCTCAAGCCGAGTGACCTGCACTAAGTACATTAAAAACATTCCAACATTGGCTTCCTGATATTTGTGATCTTTTAAATTCATCAGTTGTTCCATGAAAACTTTTCCTGCCCTCTCTCAGCCACAAACCCATCTCCAGCCTCTCCAGACTGCAGCTGTTGCCACAAACTCTCCAATGCCCCCACCCTCCATGAGTAGGAGCAAGACAAACCAGCCAAGTCCAAACCACAGCTATTCCTTCACTCAGGGGAATTATTCCCTCCTCAGTCACCAGCTTTCCACAATTTTAAGACCTTGATCTAGGGGTGGTTTCAGTCCCTCTGACAGATCTGCCTGGAATGGGCTGTTGATAGGTTCCAAATTGTTTGGTGAAAGCTTCCAAACAGGTGGAAGAACTGTGTAAGTCCTGTTTCCTCTGGAAAGGAAAATGGTGAAAAATGGTCACGGGCTCAAATTTAGGATCTTGTGACAACTCAGTCTTGCCAGTTTGGCACTTAGGGCACATACCTCAATAGAGGGGAGGTTAAAAATTAACACCATGGACCTGGGAGAGCAAATTAAATACATAAGGGATCTTTTTGGTGTCTCCCAAATTCTCTTATTTAAAGCAACCACTTTACAGGGAAAATGGGACATGGAAATAACAGCAAGATGCACAAACTGGTCTCCAAAGGGAAATTTATCAGGAAAGCTGCAGCAGTGTTCCTGTTTCCTGTTCATTTTCAGAGCCGCAATACACCCAGACAAGCCCATCTCCTCCCCTCCTGGTGCTTTCCACACGGATGTGGAGTTTGGTGTTTCCATTTCCAAGGAGGGCTCCAGGAATCCAGAAGGTTCATGAAATCAAACAAGACCAAACCCAAAGCTAAAGAGTCATCACAGAGGAGAAATGGCTCTCACTGGATATCCAGAGGCTCTCTTAGACAACAAAAAGTAGGGATAGGTGATTTAAACAGAAAGGCAGGGAAAAATAGACCAAAATTTACCCGAAAATTGACCAAACCCTGCATCCTTCCACCCTTCACCCAGTCCCAGCAATCCCACCCACCCTCCCAAGCTGGAAAAGGTGGGAAGACGCAAACCCAGCCTGACAGGATAGAAGCCTTTTATTTGGAGGAGGCAGAGAGAGCAGATGGTGCATCCACAACACAAAGTTAACAATGCTTTTTATAGTCCCAGCTGACCACAATTCCTGCTTTTATCTGTTCCTAACTTTGTCAGTCACTGACTGTTCAAAATGAAGCTGCCTCTGAGGTTTTCAGGTGGAAAATACAAACCCCAGACAAAGAGTTTCAAGCCTTAAAATGTGGCAAAATGTAGAGCTCTGCCCACTGCCTCCCTCAGACATGGAGTTGACCTTTAAAAGTGTTATGTCTGAATATGGGGGGTTTTTTTGCTGTTCCTGCAAGGAAAAGGGAAGTTATTTGTGGAAGTTCACACACTGACAGGAAAAAAGGGAAAATCTGCAAAGGTTCCCCAAGTGCTGCAACTCCACCCAGGGCAGTGGTCACCACACTGGATGTTATTTTACAAGGGAATTATATTATTTAGGAAAGCTCTTCTCAAGTTTAAACATCCCCAATTCGTTTCATACATTGCATCCCTACAACTCCCTGACAGGACGGTGGAACTAGGCGGGGGTAATGACAGAGTGAGAGGAAATGGCCCCAAGTTGCACCAGGGGAGGTTTAGGTTGGATATTGGGAAAATTTCTCCACTGAAAGGGTGTTCAGGCCCTGGCACAGCTGCCCAGAGCAGTGGTGGAGTCATCCTGGAGGGATTTAAAAGCCATGTGGATGTGGCACTTGGGGACATGGGTTAGTGGTGGCCTTGGCAGTCCTGGGACAATGGCTGGACTCGATCTTAGAGGGTTTTTCCAACTTTACTGATCCTATGATCAAGAACCTGGTCCATTTTAGCACCTTCCTTTAAAACTTGACACTGGGCTTTAGCTTTGGGACAGCCGATTTTCAATCTGCTTTCACTGAACCAACAACTCTCAGCACAGAGAAGATCCAGCAGTGGAAGAGCTTGAACTCAAGCCCATTCCAAATTCCAGGCATTTGCACAGAGCTGGAGACAACAACCAAGTTCTGCAGCTGCAGGTTCAGAGCAGCTCAGATCCGGCTTTTCCCTCTGCCCCTCTTGTATTGGTTTGGCTGATCAGATTTGGGCCTAAAAAATAAAAAGCAGGAAAATTATATTGCACACACACCTACAGGATCTGTGCACCTTGTCCTGCCCACACATTGTCCACGGAGTCATGGAATCACAGAATGCTTTGGGTTGGAGAAGTTTAGAATCATCTCATTCCACCCCCTGCCATGGGCAGGGACACCTTCCACTAGCCCAGGTTGCTCCAAACCCCGTCCAGCCTGGCCTGGGACACTCCCAGGGGTGGGGCACAAAGGAGAAGAAGGGGGAATGTCCTACATCCCTGACAAATCAGAGCAATGATGGTTGGAGCCCTTCCTCTTCCTCCCCTCCCTGTGTGCCAGCTCTGCACATTGATGGCTCTGACAGCAGCTCCTCAGCTCCTTGACAGGGCAATTCCCATGGAAACACACTGTACATGTGTATCCCATGTGGGGACAGCCATACAAAGCAAATCCAGAGGTGCCTGGAGCTGTAGCCTCCTACATTTACACCACCATTGCAGGCACAGGCCCTTCCCCATGGCACAGCAAAGGTATCACAGGCTGTGGATCAGATAAGCTGACCTGGGACTGTGCTAGGCAGGAATTAAACCAGTTCAAAGCTGTGATTTCAGTCCACTGAAAACAGGAATCAGGAACAGAAGACAAAACAAGTTGCCCCAAACCCATCAGCAGCTGCTGCCGGCATGTTCTGCACATCAGAATGGGAAAAACCCATCTCCGAATGGGCAGAATGGAAGAAGACTTTTACTATTCTCTGCCCAGAGAAGCTGAGGCTGCCCCATCCCTGGAAGTGTCCAAGGCCAGGTTGGACGGGGTTTGGAGCAACCTGGGCTAGTGGAAGGTGTCCCTGCCCATGGCAGGGGGTGGGACTGGATGGGCTTTAAGGTCCCTTCCAACCCAAACCATTCCATGAGTCTATGATGATCCCATTCCTGCCTTGATTGTGTATCCTGAGGCATTAATCACCTGCCTCACGTTCCTGAGAGCTTTTCCCAAAACCAGTTCATTTCCCAAAAGATGGAGGGTTAAGTTTTCCTTTCGATTGTCACTCCATGCTGATCATGTTTTAGCAGGATTAATGGGTCAGGTTTATGAAAGGGAAAATCTTTCCAAGAGCCAGGAGTGCCCTGGGCTGGGAGAGCCGGATGGGCTCTGAAGGGCAGGTGGGACAAACACCGCCCAGGAATGAGATGGAGGAGGGAACCCCCGTGGGGCAACAAGGTGAATTAGGAAGCTTCTGAAGGATTTGTTTGTAGCTTTCCTATTCCATGATCACAGTGTTATGGAATGGGATAGGTTGGAAAGAAACTTAAGGATCATCCCATTCCAACACCTTACGGTATCCCAGGTTGCTCCAAGTCCTGTCCAGCCTGGCCTTGGACACTTCCAGGGATGGGGCAGCCACAGCTTCTCTGGGCAACCTGTGCTAGGGCCTACCCAACCTCACAGGGAACAATTCCTTCCCAATATCCCATCTAACCCTGCGCCCTGGTAGTGGGAAGCCGTTCCACTCTGTTCAGTCCCTCCCCAGCTCTCCTGGAGCCCCTTTAGGCGCTGGAAGGGGCTCTAAGGTCTCCTTGGAGCCTTTCCTTCTCCAGGTGACAATCCCAATCCCAAAGGTCCTTCCTGGCAGGTGCTGCAGACACAGAAATGCCACACTCAGAGCCAGGGCACTGTCCCAGCCCCATGGATGGCACTGTCACCCAGCTGTGACCAGGGCACTGATAACCAACAGTGGGATCCTTCAACCCAGCCCTGGATGCTCCAAGGGGGACTCAGGACAACGGGAATGCCTGAGGCTGCTCCAAGCCTGGTCTTGCTGGGAAAGGAGTAGGGCTAGAGAGGGGGAAGGGACACAGGAGAGCTGTGCACAGCCCCTGACAGGGGCGGTGCTCATGTGGGGCCCACGAGTGCCGTGAGCAGGTCAGTGCTCAGCTCTGGCACCTCTCACGTGTGGAGCCCCAAACAACCACCCCAACAAACTCCAGCCCCAAAACCTCCTGCTCCAAACCCTCAAGCCCCCTGTCCCAAATGCCTTATCCCAAGCACTCAAACCTCCTGTCCCAACACTCCTGCCCCAAGTGCCCCGTCCCAAACCCTGAAGCCCCCTGCCTTAAACCCCTGTCCCAAACACCCTGTCTCAATCCCCCCCCCCATGCAGACACCCCTGTCCCAAAATCCCTTAACTCCCTGCCCAAAAACCTTGTTCCAACCACCTCTGTCTCAAATTTCCTGCCCCAAACCCTCAAGCCAAACCCTTGTCCCAAAACCCCCGTCTCAAGCCCCAAACCACCTGTGTTAGCACTCATGGCCCAAATGCCCCGCACTATATCCTCCTGTTCCAAAACCCCCTGCCCCAACTCCCCATGTGCCAAACCTCCCTGTCCCAAACCCCTTAACTGCCTGCCCCAAAACACTGGCCCCAAACCTCCCTGTCCCAACCCCTTCCAGCCCCAATCTCCCTGTCCCAAACACCTTATCCCAACACTCCTACCCCAAAACCCCATCCCACCACTCCGTGCAAACAGTCCTGCCCCAAAACCTGTTGCAAGCACCCAAACCTCCTGTTCGAACACCCGTGCCCCAAACCCTCAAGCCCCCTGTCCTAAACACCTGTCTCAAATGCCTTGTCCCAAACCCCCAGAACACCCTGCCCCAAACCCCTTGTCTCCAACACCCATCTCAAATCCTTCCAGCCCTGAGCCCCTGCCCCAAAATCCTTCCAGCCTCAGGCCCCCATCTCAAACCTCCAGACCCAATACCCTGTGCAAACACCCCTGTCCCAAAACCCCTCAACTCCCTGCCCCAAAATCCTGTCCCAAACCTCTCTAACCCAGAACCCTTTGCCCCAAACCTCATCTCAAGCACCCAAGCCCCCTGCCCTAAATACCTATCCCAAACACTTGATTCTAACACCCTGTGCAGACAACCCCATCCCAAAACCCTGCCCCAAACCTCCCTGTCCCATACACCTTGTCCCCAACCCCCTGCCCCTAATCCTCTGGCCCCAATACTCCGTCCCAAACCCCCATCCCAACACCCCGTGCAAGCACCCCTGTCCCAAACCTCATCCCAAGCACCCAAACCCCTTGCCCTAAACACCTATCCCAACTCCCCCCCAAACACCTTATCCCAACACCCTGTGCAGACACACCTGTCCCAAAACCCTTCGCCTCAACCCCCCTCCCAAGCACCCAAATCTCCTGTCCCAAAACTCTTGCCCCAAACCCCCATCCCAACATCCAGTCCCCAACCCCCTGCCCGAAATCCTCCGGACCCAAGTCCTCTGCCCAAACACCTTGTCCCAACACCCCGGGCAGACACCTCTGTTCCAAACCCCCAAACTCCCTGCCCCCAAACCCCTTAACCCCCTGCCCCAATTCCCTGTCCCCAACCCCTCCTGCTCACGATCATCTTCTTGTAGAGCCCGTAGTGCAGCACCAGGCTGTGGGTGAGCGCCAGGCGATGCGGCTTCATGGGGTGCCCCGCGCCTGCAACGGAACCGCGCGGGATCAGCGGGGGGCGAGACCAAACGGCCACACCCGCCGCGCCAGGCCGGGACCCGCGGGCACCGCGGCAGGAACAGGTCGGGAACGGGGACAGAGGGATGGGGAGAAGGGGAAGGGGGACAGGGGGGACGCAAGGCGGGGGGGGCCGAGAGGGGAACGCGGCTGGGCTGGGGCACACCCTCGCCCCCCGAACCGGTCCCGGTCGTTCCGCCGCGCGGCCCCGGCGCTGCCCCGGCCCCGGCAGGCCCCGCCCGCACCGTAGTGGAAATTCCCCACGTCCGGATCGTAGAAATAGGCCACGGTCTTCGCCATGGCAGACGGGCCGCACTCCTGCTTACGTCATCACCGCGCGACACCCGCT